CCTACACAGAGGATGGGACCTGTATTCATGTAGTACAGTTAGTTGTACAAAATCATGATAATATCATTTGATTTATTATGTGCTGTTTTCTGTGCTCTTAAATAAAATAATCCTTCTGAACTCTCCTAGACCCGAAAAATCCTGTCTGCCTGTGAAAAGAACCCCACAGATGCCTACCAGCTCAATTATGACATGCACAATCCCTTTGACATTTGTGCCGCATCTTACCGACCCATTTACCGTGGAAAGCCAGTGGAGAAGTGTCCACTCAGTGGGGCCTGCTATTCCCCTGAGTTCAAGGGTCAAATATGCAGGGTTACTACAGTAAGTGCTGCTTCAAATATGCATCTAGGATATTGAGGGGAGGGGAAAGAGAAAGAAACATGGAGGTTCTTTTCTCCTCTTGTATTTGCCTCAGCTCCTTGAAGCAATGCTACTAGAGAAAACTAGTTTCTCCCCACTGCTCCATCTCTCAGAAACAAACACCCATCTACTGTGTTTATTGAGGAGTATAGGGAATAAGCACTAGGTTCTCAACCTCACAGATCTCTAACTTGGTCTTCTGTTTCCTCATTTACAGGTGACAGAGATTGGCAAAGATGTGATTGGTATAAGGATCAGTCCTCTTCAGTTTCGCTAACGCCCCATTTGTGTGGGAAGCAGAGGAGTCAATAACATATTCTTCCTTCAAAGAATTAGTCTTTGAAGTCTCTATACCTTTCTCCTACAGCCACCCTTAAGATTATTGATATCTCCTTTTCTCTTCTATCAAAGAATATCAAAACTTGACTTCATTGTTCATGAGGACCTCTCCTTTTCTCAAGGTGGTCATAATTGTCATCACAGTTGGACTTGCCTTTCCAGCTTAGATCTTTTAAAGAACAAATGAAAACCTGTGATGGATATTTGTTTAGTAAATTCTTTCAATATTTATTCCTCTCCTCCCCACCACCTTTGTTTCCTTTCTGCTGTAAAGGAGCAAGATGTAATGAATAAGATACCAGTTTTACTCAGCCACACCAAACTCTTAGATATTTCCCCATTTTCCTTGGGCATTATATTCCTAGGCAGGCACCCTCTGTGCTCAGAAACGTGAAGTCTAAGAAGAAATCATTTGGCTTTCAAAAATGCACACCACTTTCCATTGATTTGTCCTTTACAACCATTGTATTCATTTTTTTGTTTTCTCACACTAAATAAATTTCTACAATAGCTTCTTGGATTGCCATTTATTTCTTGAACATTTTCGTGCTCCTGTTCATATCCTGTAGTTGTCCCACCAAACTGTGAGAACTTTTACCACTGAGCTACATTCTAGCCCTTTTTCTTTTCCATTTTGAGACAGGTCTTGCTAAATTGCTGAGGCTGAATTCAAATTTGTGATCCTCTTGCCTCAGTCTTCCAAGTCACTGAGATTTCACACACATGCACCACCACATCAAAGCAGATGTATTTTCTTCTAATATTTTTTTTTAATTACCAAAGTAATAAATACCACTATTATGGGAAAACATTTTTCATAGGGTATGTGTGAGGCATAGACCTAAACTGCTGTGAGAGTGGTAGAAAGCAAGTAGATCCCTATTCCTTATTTATTTATTTATTTATTTATTT